ATATTGAATATAGCAACCTCCTGAATTGGAATTGGCAGATGCATTTCGACTCATCTCATGTTGTAGTGCAAGCGTTGTGGACAAAGAAGAATGCAATGTTGAAAGAGAAAGTAACTCTCTAGTCCGGTGAACATGAGCTCTGATGGATCGATCATCGTATAATGCTGCAAGGGAATAGCCTTAATTTTTTAAAATCCATAACCAAAAGCAGAAACATGTTTTGCTATTACACATGCAATGCAACACTTGAAATAATAATCGAGAGAAACCAAACTCGTCCATGCCATGCCCCAAAAAGGTAATCATGGGTTGTTGGTAAGTTGCAGTTAAGTTAATGGTCACTAGTTGAGCAAATGATAATAGAAATAGAGTATTAAGCTTACCAGCAACCATCTCCAAAGAGCAGCCTCCCGAAGTAATATTAGCAACTTCAGAAATTTCATTGTAGTCTTCTAGATGATGCACAGAACCATCCTTTGTGTGCAGTAACAAATCATAGCAAGTGACAGGACATGTCTCTGGGGCATCAAGAAGGAACTGCCTAACATCCATTACAGAATCTCCAGGACTCAACTGTAATAAATTCCAATTGATTTAAATCCATGAAATGGGCATCCAAGTACAGAAAACATGGGATATTAAATAAACAGGAGACAGTAACCATATATTTGAAGATCAGATGACTGATATACATGAAGCAAAAGAAAGCAATGGATTTGGATGCAGCTGCAAATAAGGGAGAACGTGTTCAGATATTCCAATTTCAAAGTAACAACCAAACCAGCTTACCTGCAGTTCAAGCTTCTCCCCTCCTTGTGTTATTACAGAAACGGGATACAGATGAACATCAGCTGCAAAAGAAGGAAACATCAATCAGTTAAGTATGTTAATGAGTCGATCTTAAATTTCTTGGCAGCAGTCAGAAACAAATGGGGAGAATGAGAAAAAAATTTGTACTACATTGTTTGATCTTAGGGACAAAATGGAAATTATAAACTGTTGATGGCAGACAGTGTAATGAGGCAACAAGTATTTAACACAAACGAATAGCAATTAATCAACAATCATCAAGTTTTCAGCATTATAAGAATGGTTTCCTATTCGTCAGTGAGCAAATCATTACACATCATTTACCTATGCTAAATGCTAATTATAAACAGTGTATTGCCAATATTTTAGAGTAATGGGTGTGTGCCTATCTTGTGTGTCAAGTCGCCACAATCAGGGTGAGTAACATATTAAATAAAATTGTTCTCAATTAGCATCAAATAAAAGAAAAGGTTGGAAAAATCGGTGTGTGCCTATCTCCTACTAAGCTAAAAAAACAAGCAGTCATTAACACAGAGAAAAATGCATTTTTTTACTTTACTTTGGCCATCGGCT